CGTGGGGAATGTTGTTGAGGTTTCCCCCCACCTCCCAGTCTCACGTCCGTGTGACCAGGAACATCATGACGGCATTTTCATGGCTTCCTGGTGCAGAAACAGAGGTAGTGTGTGTTTTCCTTGTCTTGTTGCTACACAGGAGGCGGTGTTTCTGTGCTCTGTGCATTCTCTTGTCAGGCTCCTTTGTGACCCTGTTGTCCAGAAACCAAGACAGGCAGCCTCACTCTGAAATGTGCACGTGGAGAGCTCCGCAGGGTCCCTGCTGGAGGCTCATGCTTATTCCATTCGGGAAGTAATGCAAACTGGGTCATTTCACCTATTTTATGATAAAAGCTAATGGTGTCAGCTTTAGTGGGCTGCAAACGTCCTTTCAGACATCACTGCTATTGTTTTAGGATGAAGTCCACTTTTGCTTTTACTGAATACTTATTAATAATTGATTTAATGCAAATGTGAAAAGAAGATTGTAACACAATGTGAATCAACCATTTATTCAGTGGCCAAGGCACTGCTGAATGAGACACAGTGCTTCCCCCAGGTGGTTGAACATGGGACACAGCACCCATATAGATACATGTTATACCTGGAGAAGGTGCCAGCATCAGGAGGAGGTGGGTGCTGGGCATCTGTGGAAGGAAGAGGGGAAGGACTACCCACTGGGGTGCTCACAAGGCTGTTGGCTGCTGCAGTATCTACACATGCAATTCAAGGTCAGGGCTGAGGGTCTCCCCTGCATTACCACATCCTCTTCCTTTCCATTTAAAAAGGTCAAATCATTTTGTCTAAAAAAGCTTGAGAAGTACTTGGAGTATAGCAGCAGAAAGTATGAGCATTTTGTTGTCAGCAAGGTGCTTGTTTGGACCTGTGGGCTCTGCAGTGAGTGGGGTCATCAGCTACACTTGGCCCGAGAGGCTCGTGTGTCATGACCGGTCATGCCGCGAAGGGCCAGCAGCTTCCGGGGGCCCGCATGTTGAGGGCACTCTCCTAGACAGCAGCGCTTCTGCAGCACCGCCTAGTAGCGACGCTCTGACAGCACAGGGGTGAATTAGAAACCCCTCTGCGTTCTGTGGAACTGCAGCTTCATGGGGCTCCAGAGATCTCAGAGGTCCAAGTCTAAATGTCCTCTCTTCACTTGCCAGTCTCACACTTGTTCATCAGAAGAACTAGCACGAATCCCAGGACCCCTGATTTTTCACTCCCTCTTTGGGTGAACTCTGCTAACTCCACACCCACTGGCCCTGCTGAGTATGGGAATGGGTTATCAGCTGTCAAACTGGGACACGTTTAACTAAAGTGTATTTGTGAAAACATTAAAACTTTAAGACATGTTAAAGTTTTTTTAGAAATTTCCATAGAGTCAATTTTATACTCTGTGGCTTATTAAACATAAACATTTTCCTGTTAATGCAAGGTGGTGTCTCGGTCAGTGTCAACAGCTGAACCAGATGTCTGAGAGGCCAGGGAAGTTCCATCCATCACTCTAAGGCCTCTTGACCTTGGGCGCAACTTTAAACATGGTCCTTAATCCCCCTAAATTAAAGTTAGTATGGAAACGGACCTCACAGTGGTATTATAAATGGCGGTGAACAGCGCTTAGCGCAGCGCTAGCAGTTAACAAGCTATCGGAACATTATAATCGGGCTTGATGACAGTGACAAGGATGCGGCAGAGCGGCACCCTCAGAAATTACTGTGCACAGGGCTTTCTGTATCTGCAATGAAATCCCTGGGTTTCTGGGCTGTTCTATTTGATGAGTAATTTGGTTCTCCACAGTCAGTTCTCCATGTTTGTTTATATCTGCTTTTTCTAAACTTTTTGTTATGGTGAAATATACATAACACAAAATTTACCTTTTTAACCATTTTTAAGTGTGCAGTTTTGTGGCATTAATTTTATTCACATTGCTATACAACTATCACTTCCATCCTTCTCCAGATCTCTTTCATTTTCCACAACTGTGTATCCACTTTAAAAAATTAAAAAATGGAGTTAGCATGGTCAGGATGGAAGGGTGGCTTGGGAACTCCTAATTCTGCCATGCTCTGGGGGTCAGGGTTGGCAAAAGTGTCTGATGGAGGACTAGGGAGTGTCCTGGAAGCCAGTTTGGAGTGAAGCAGATGAGTAGATGAGTGGATGGAGAGATAAATAAATATCTTTCTTAAATGGGGGTGTTATTATACTGAGGATTAAGTTAGAAGCAATCAATGTAAATAGAATTTTCCCATCCAAAAGGTGTGCTGTGGATATGAAACCCTTTTTTAATGAGAAACTCAAAGATTGTCTCTGTATTACTTCGCTAGAACTGCCATAACCAAAATATCACAGGCTGGTGGCTTAAACAGAAATTTATTTTCTTACAGTTCTGGAGCTGGATGTCCAAATCAAGGTGTCCACCCACTTGATTTCTTCTGGGGCCCTTCGCCTCGGCCTGTAGAAGGCCACCTCCTCTGTTTGTCTTCTAATGGCCAAAGGCCAACCTGCCATGTTTGTCCTCTTCTTGTAAGGACACATGTTAGGTTGTATTAGGGCCCATGCTAATTACCTCATTTTAACTTAATTATCTCTTTAAAGACCCGATATCCAGATATGGCCACATTCTGAAGTTAGGGCTTCAAGTGTATGAATTCTGGGTTGGGAATAGAGAGACACAATTCAGCCCATTACAGTTTCTAATGATTTCCCTGGTTCTAAATATCCTGAGAATCTCCCCCAATTCCAGACGAAGCCGATGAAACCAGGCATCCTGTGCTGTGGCAGGCACATCCCCAAGGCACATTACAAATGCAGCTCCGATGTCCCAGAGACAGAATGTCCTACCATTTCTGAGCCATGCACAGTGAATTTTTCTTGGAGAGAAAGAATAATAAACATAGAGTATTTTAAGTCCACCCTCCATGTCTGCCAAGAATAATCCTGGTGTGCTGAGGAGCTCATTCCCTTCATGGCCATTCCGAATGCTGTAGCTGCACATGTCTGCCCTGGAAAAGGCAACTAACTGGCTTCAAGATAATCCACATGGATTTAAATAAATACAGGGTAGCTTAAAAAACTGCCTCTCTCTCAAAATAGAGCCAGAGGCCATTTCAGTCCAAGAGGAGAGGAGCTGATAGCTAATGACACTTCAAGAAGAGCTTTTTAAAAGGGCATTTTAATTTCAGCTATTATATTGAACTATTATAATCTAGTGAGTTATCCTTTTAATATACATGGTGCACTGGAAAACAGTAAGAACTGATTTTTGTGAAGTTACCTTTAGACTGTATTCTGTGCTAGGGACTGCATAGTTGGGGTAGAATAATTACGTGGTGTCAACAGTGAATGTGCCATTTCTGTAATTTTTAACCACTTTTTTGTGTGTGATGTTATTGCCTGTGTGTACAAAGACAGGTCAATATTTTTGATATTTTCTGTTGAAGTATAGTTGATACACAATATTATATTGATTTCAAGTATATAAAATAGTGATTCAACTGTTATGTACATTATTAAATCCTCACCCAAACTAATATAGTTACTATCTGTCAACATACAAATATGCTACAGAACTGTTGACTATATTCTCCATGCTGTACTTTCATCCCTGTGACTAATTTATATTATGATTGAGATTTTGTGCCTCTTTATCCCCTTCACCTATTTCAACCCACCCAGTCAACCCCTTCCCCATGGTAACCACCAGTCACTTCTAGGTGTTTGTGAGTCTACTGCTGTTTTGTTCATTTTGTTTTGTTTTGTTTTTCGAGCCCACATATAAGTGAAATCATACGGTACTTGTCTTTCTCCACGTGGCTTGTTGCACTGAGCATAACAGCCTCTAGGTCCATCCATGGCGTCAAGATTTCTTTTTTCTGTGGCTAAATAATCCATTGTGTATATGTACCACCTCTTCTTTATCCATTCATCTACTGATGGATACTTTGTTTGTTTCCATATCTTGACTATTGTAAATAATGTGATAAATATAGGGGTGCATATATCTTTTAAAATCAGGGATGTTGATTTCTTCTGGTAAATTCCTAGAAGTGGAATTATTGGCTTGTACAGTATTTCTATTTTTAGTTTTTTGAAGAACCTCCATACTGCTTTTATAGTGGGTGCACCCATTTACATTCCCACCAGCAATATAGGAGGGTTCTCTTTTCTCCACATCCTCACCAGCACTTATTGTTTCTTGTGTTTTGGATAGTGACCATTCTGACTGGTATAAAGTGGTATCTCATTGTGGCTTCGATTTGCATTTCTCTGATGATTAGCAATGCAGAGCATCTTTTCAAAGACAGGTCAACTTTTTACTATGTTGCTACACTTTACAGTAGAGAAAAGAGAATGATAAGCCTGATCAAGAAAGCTGATTTTTTCAAATTCATTAATTATCGTCACTTATACTGAAGATTATTCCCTATATTGCCCTCCTTTCTCCTTCCTCCCTTTTTCTCCCTCTTTCCACTCCTGAGCTCTTCATATGTTGAAGGACACTGTTGTATCTGTCAATGGCAAAGTTCCAAATGAAAGAATTTGTCATGAACTGTCAGTTTTTTCATCAAGCAGAATACTAAATTGTTGGCTTACATATTAACTATTTAAATCTGTGAAAAATTTTTAGCACACATTGAAGAAATGGTATTATATCTTACGTTCCTATTTTCCAGATGGAGTTTGCATTTCTAAATCTGTATAGGAAATTGGAAGGTGCTGGTCTGTCTTAAAAAACTCACTCATCCTTCTCAATTATAAGTGCTTCCTTGGCTATTAGCTCCTCTTCTCTTATTTTGCATGAGAACTACAGTCCTACCGTTCTACTAATTGTTGTTCATTCCACAGTGGTTAGCTGTCCTGGGTTTTAGAAGTGAGGAAGCACTGGCATTCTGCAGAGGTTACTGGGCAGAGCCCCTCTTCCATGAGACTTCCTTGCCGTGGATGTGAGACAGAACAGCCAATGTCTCTTAGAACAGAACAGTTCAAGCCCAGATTTCTCTAATGTATACATGCTATTATTTTAGGTCTCCGAATTCAATCCTTTGACGTTCACCAGCATAATTGAGTGTGAGAAGCCAAACAACGACCTGAATAGGTTCCGTGGTTGCATGTGAGTATCGCACACCTGCTGAACTATCCTCCTGCTGACAAACTGTACGCATACGTGTCTCTGAATACACAGACACACATGGTTGCAATGCCTGCATTTAATATTCTTTGCTATGTTGTGCAGCCTTGTTAGAATGTTGCCCTGCACCTGAGCCTTCGTAGTTGCTTATGGGACTGGTTTGTAAGGTTTTTCAGCAGCAGAAGCTTATCAAAGCCACCTGTGATGACTAGTCGTAGCTTTCCTTCTTCTAGGGGATCCTGGGAGGGGAAGAGAAAAAGGAAGCATGGTTGACAACATGTTGTCCCATTAAATGGAAGCAGAGAGACCATACGGGAGGTGCCTGGGTGGAAGCTCATTCATTCATTCACTTATTCATTCAGCCGTTTATGCACTCAGTCATTGAACAACTATTTGTTGAGCACCTGCTGTGTGTGGTGCCCTGATGAAGGCTCTGGGAATAACACAGTAAACTGATGAGGATTTTAAAAATTCCTATCCTTAGGTTCATTTCATTTTAGGTAAAGACAGGAAATAAACAAAAAGTAAGTATAATATGTCAAATAATCAAGCCCCTTGTGCCAAAACAAAAAGACAAAAAAGTCGACACATGACACAGCCTTGGCTGTATGTCGGTACTTTCTGGAGCTGGGCTGTGGCTAATGGGAAGTATACACTAATCTCACTACTTTCACGCACATCTGGAAATTTCAGTAACAATTGTGTGTGTGTGTGTGTGTGTGTGTGTGTGTGTGTGTGTGTGTGTGTGTAGTCGTAGTCAGTTGATTTGGGAAAAAATCAAGTGGGAGAAAAGAGGGCATGTCTGCATGGCGAGGCCAGGCTGCAGTCAGAGGTGAGCCATGAACCTGAAGGGCCTTAGGTCCACTCCCAATGCGCTGCTTGACCTTGTGCATCGTCACATCTCCCAACTTAGCTATATAAGCTGTGCAGAGAATCGGGGGCCCTGTCCTCGCCACTGCCCCCTCCAAGGTGCCAGCTGACCCCGTCCACTGCTTAGAGGTCTGGGCACAGAGTGGCCCCCCAGGTGAGGCAGGGTGCTCCACCTCCTACAGCATTTGGTGCCAGGTGGAACCTTCTGATTACTGGCATGTCCAGCACTGTTGCCTGTACCCAGCACCCGAGGGCTTCCTGCCATTCTGTGGGGCTGAATCAAGGAGTGACAAGTGTGAACGGCACATGGTGAGAAGCGTGTGCTGCTGGAAAATGGCCCAGTCACCCACTGAGATTGCCTGAGGATCGGAACTTGGAAAATGTGGAAGTTATCCCTTCAAGGAACCAATTAACGGAGGATAGAACTTATAAGAAAAATGTTAAAATATAATATGTGAAATCTAGGAGGAGAATATTCAACTACCCACACATAACTGGTCTGCTGTGGATTTCTGGCCTCTGTGGCCCCCTAGGCTGTGTTCTCCAGGCCTCGTTGGCCCGTAGTCTGCAGCACTTCACATGTACAGCACCATTTTCAGCGCCCGTGAGTCCCCAGAGCCACGCTGGCTGCATGGAGCACGTGCTGCTATGCAAAGACCCTGACATAACTACTGGGACGGGTGGTGAGGGCAGCCTCCAGAGAGAATGCTCTGTGGACGTGCTTGCTCATGGGGTAGCTTTTGCTCATGGGGTGCCAAGTCTGCCTAAAGGAAAGGGTAGACACCCTCCTCCAGGCTGTCCTCCGTGGCCTGTCTCTGTGGGTCCCTCTGAAGCATGCCGCTCTGCTCCAGCGACTATTCACACCTTTGCTGCTGCTCTAGAGCTGCATCAATGCTGAAGGGGATCCCACCCCGAGGTAGCCCCTCTCGGCTCCCCCCCCAGCGAGTACCTTTGCTGCAGGGCCTTAAAGAACCTGGCTTTGTGCTGAGGCCAGCAGACCCTGGAGCCCACACTTGCAGCTAGATACCCTTGGGCAAACTGCTCAGCCTCATTCACCTGTGTAATGTGGAGCATCACACGGCCTCACCTTGTCATTGCTGCAAACTTCAAGTTAATTTAATGCACAGAATGCTTTCAGAAGTGGGGAGGGGGTGCTCAATAAATACTGGCCACTATTATGGCTGCTTCTATTATTAATATTGCTGTTGCAGATGATTCTATAAAGCAGGGAGAGAATGGTCAGGAGCGAGGTATAGGTGAGAACTTGAATGTTTCCAGGGGAGGAAGATCCCGTCAAAAATTTGGCTGGGAAGATGGTTTTCCCTCAGTGAATGTGTCAGGAGGAGCTACAGGAGGGAGGAAGATAGGATTTTGAGGTTTCTTGAGTTTGAGGAGCTGGCAGGTACATTAGGTGGAGAGACCCAGCTGACAGAAAAAAAAAATGTGGATCAGGAATTCAGAGTAGGAACTGAAGTCATGGATTTGAAGACCTTCTTTCCCACCCTCCGAGGTCTAGAGGTCCTGTGTGAAGGGAGGGCACAGGCCTGGCCATCATGGCACAGAGGGTTAGAGAAGAAAGCAAAGGAATGAAGACAAAGAAATCCAGCAGTCAGGAGCAGGTATCCTCAGCATGGCAGGGATGCCCGATGGTGGGGGCACAGCAGGTACATCAGGGGGAGTTGTGCAGCAGCCTAAGAAACCTGGACCACAGGCTGAGCCCAGCCACCCTCTGTGCCGGCAGTGGTTCCTCTTGTTGGACCAGCCACCCTGAACCTCATTCAGCCTGAGCCATTTGCATGTGGAGACCTAAGCTGGGGTTAGCAAGAAAACCGTGTCTGAATTCCAGCTCATCCCCTCCCGGTCAGTGTCCTTAGGCAAATTGATCTGCATTTCTGGACCCCAGCTTCCTCCGAATTCTGGAGATCACAGGACTGGCATGAGAAGGGACTGAAAGAATCCGTGGCAGGCATGCCCTGGATTAGAATGCCTCGTCTCATACAAGGCAGTGGGTTAGCCCGTGGGTGATAGTGGGCGAGGCCCCTGGTATGAAATGGCTACAATAAGAATGTCTTTAGGGACAGAAAGTGGGTTCGGGGTTGCCAGGGTTTCAGGTGTGGGATGGGAATGGAGAGTGACTAGCAATGGTTCCAGGGTTTCTTTTTGGAGTGGTGAATAGGTACTAAAATTAGCTGGCAGTAATAGCTGCACAACTCTGTGAATATACAAAAAATTCCCAGTCACCTACACTTCAACTGGGTGAGTTTTACAGTATGTGAAATATGTCTCAAGCTATTAAAATTAGTGTTAGGATCTTCATTATTCACATATACTTTAATGCTTATAGTTCTTTAACAATCCCCAGGGTTAAGCAGGAATGAAACCCTCAGTTAGGAGCTGAAATAACAGTGCCCTGCGCCCCTTCACCTGCCCTCGGCCCCTGGGTGGAGGCATCACAGCCCAGAGAGGCCCCTGTGAAGGGGGACAGGCTCCATGCACCTCAGTGTCATGGTCCCTGGGAGCTCAAGGGGACTCCACTCAGCCATGTTTAGCTAACTTCATGGCATATGGTAGGTGGCCTTTGAAGCCACCAGTTAATCAAACATTTTCACTTACCCCAAAAGAACAAAGCAGTTTTGGTTTGGTTATCCGATGGAAAATTATATTTCAATTGTAAAGCCAGGTTCCAATTGGCACTTCTTATTCCAAAGCCCTGGGCAGAGCTAAATCTGAGCTTCCTGTGTGCATGCTTCAGAGCCTTAGGTGACCACAGGGGACCCACGCAAGAGTGCTCATCGCCACTGCGAGCCCGTGCAAGCTGGTTGGGGTAGCAGATGTCTCATGCTTGAAGGCCATTGTCACCCTGTGGGAGGGGCAGCAGGGTCATTACCAACAGCAGAGCCCTCACTCTCCTTCCTCCATCCTGCCCAGGTCTGGATGGAGCTTTGCATGGGCACATGTCCAAACTGTCCTCACTGCCGATGACCAGGCTTTAGGATGAACTGTAACCACATCGACTAGACTCTAAAATTGAAATATTTCCATTTCACCTTGGCACCTTTAACTGACGTTTACATTTGAAGAAAACCTACCATCGACACAAAACACACAGTTGGGTTATTTCTGCTCTAACCTAGATAAACAAAAATCTGAGTGACTATCGTTTAAAAGAAAATTCTCTCCAGGGTTGGGTAGTGCAAAGGTTACCCATGTTTCCTTCCTCCCTACCCATGTCAGTCAGAGTCCCCTTAGGAGAAGGATGGGGCACTCAGATTCACATAAGTGGGGGGGGATCTGTTTGCTAAGGTCCATTTGAACAGGAGTGGGCGGGGCTAGAGGAGCTGTAGGGTTAGTACACCGCCAGGCGACCCAGTGGTCCTGGGAGAGGAGAGGCCAGGGTGAGTCCCTGGTCCTGGATGCAGGCAGCCTAGTACTCAGTCCCTGGAGTAGCCAGGGAATAAGCTGCCCACCCCCTGTCCACTTCCCAGACTTGTTCCAACATCCGCATTGGAGGGACCCAACCCAAAGCCAAGAGCAAGGAGCCCTCAGCATTTGCCAGGCACCAAGGTAGGCATCAGGGATGCAAAATGGAGTAAGATATGAGGAGTCCATATTTAGAAGTGGACATAAGGAAGAACAGAAGAACATTGCAGATTTCCTGGCTACCAGGCCTGGGGTGCTCAGCCCAGAGACTCTTCCTGAGAAGCTTCCTGTACAAGGTGAGCTAAGCCAGCTCCTCTAGCCAGTGAACCAGCACGGGCCGCGCTGGGACCGGAGGCAGTGTGGGTGGCCAGACATGAAATGCGGGGTACCTGGGGCTAAAACCTGGGCAGGAAGCCCCCACAAAGGACTGCCAAGTGGACTGGGCTGTGCGTATGCCAAGCCGGGGCCTAAAGAGCCATGTGGAAGGCTCCCAGGAGAACGTGATGTTCTGATACACATACCGAAAGGCTGGTCTGATGGCTGTGTGAGGAATGGGCCAGAGGGCTCCCAAGGCCTGTGGTTTCCAGGCCTGCAAGGGCTGTGTTGCAGGATCCAGCAGAGGAGGGTGGAAGCCTGGATTAGCAGAGTGTTGCCAGAGGGAGTAAGAAGGAGGTGGGTTCAAGAAACAACCAGGGGAGAGGGTGGTGCTTAGGATGGATGTTTGAGTGGAAGTAAGAATGAGGGTGGAGAGGTCAAGAAGGGTACCCGAGGATGCTGGTCCAGGTGACCAGGTCTGGTGGACTCACTCCCCGTGGTGGGGCAGGCAGGAGGGCCCAGGACTCTGGGTGCTGGAGATGATGTGCTATGTGGAGGGAGTGGCTGTAGGCTGCTGTGCAAGGTCCCCAATCTGTCACCCGCTGCCTGTGGCCCCAGGAGAGCCTGGGCAGCAGCAAGTACTCCTTGCATCTCTGTGTCGAACCGATGCATTGCTGCACTGGTGCAGGCCCCTGTCAGCACCCTCCCGTGCCGGGGCTGAAACAAGCTCTGACTTGCAAGATCCATGACCAGCAGCAGGTGCTGGCAGGGAGACAGCGTCTTCTGAGAAAGAAGAGCCAGGCAGGATGTTTATCTGGTGAACTCTGCCGTTTCCCAGGGAGCCTGCATGTGGCCCTTCCCAGTGCACAGGATCCCTGGTCACCAGACGGCTCTCTCATCACTGCACTTTTGGACATTTTTGATTTAGAAGAGATTGGTTTGATGAGTCCAGAGGCCTGGAGACTTAACTAGTGGGGCTCTTCTAAGTGGCTCAGATTAAATGTCAAAGGCTGTATCACTGTGTCCATGCCGATCACGGGTGGGGAGGCTCACGCAGCAGAAACACTGCCTACAGCTCTGGAGGCTGGAGGTCCGCGATTGAGGCGCTGGCAGCGCTGGTTTCTCCTGAGGCCTCTCTCCTTGCCGGGCAGGCAGCCAACTTCTCCCTGTGTCCTCAGGGTCTTAACCTCTATGCTTGTCTGTCTCTGTGTCCAAGCTTCTTCTCATAAGGTCACGTCATGGATTAGGGTCTATCCATATGATCTCATTTTATCTTAATTACCCTCTTTAAGGACTGTGTCTGAATATGGTCACATTCTGAGATGCTGGAAGTTCAGACTTAAACAAATGAATTCCAGGGGCAGATGGGGGACACACATCAACCCATAACAAGGGGGTAGGTGCTGAGGGCAGCTTGGTAGGCTCACGTTCCTGTGTGTGTGTTCCTGGAATCAGGTCTCACATCTGCTCGGTCCTGGTGGGCCTGTCCCACCCTCGGTGGGGACATTCCCTCTCAGACGTCCAAGGCAGGGTTTGAAACCTACACCCTAAGCCCCATCTGTCAGCCTTCCTGCTGGGCCTTGGCCTGCCTTCCTCCCTCTTCTGATGCAGGGGCCATTCATTCAGGAGGCCATTTACTTCCATCCACTGCCTGTCCTTGCAACCATAGTCCTCATATAGGCCCGTAGGCCTGCTGGTGACTTGGTCTGATCAGAAAGCATAGTAGTTGCTAAAAAGTGAAGGTCATGTTAAAGAAAGCTTAATGTAAAATAATTTTCTTGTTTCTATCAAGTTCATCTCTTGCTCTGAATAAGCAGAACTGGAACTTTGCCTGATGCAATTCATCCTTCACCACAGTCCCTGAGAATTAGTTTCCATGTCAGGCTGTAGCTGGGAGAACCATGGCAGTGGGCATCCCGGCACTCCAGCGTGGAAGCTGTGCTTTGTGTGTAATGTCTTATACGTGCTGGTCTCTCAACGTGTTAGCCAGCAGGGAGGTTTGCAGTCTTGGATCTTCTTTAAAGCAAAACCTTTCTCTGTCCTGGAATTGCCAGAGGGGGCCTCCAGCCCAGTGTTGTTTGAACATCCCCCCATGGGTTCCTTTGCAGAAGAACCTTGGTGAAGTAACAGGCTTGCAGGAAATGAGTCCCACCAGCATGCATTTTGGCCCTGACTTTATTGTTTCATTTCCCTGGTTGTGAAGAACATGGGCTGTGTCTGAGGTTGAGGCAGCTCTGCCCCTCATGCCAGTGACCCAGGGTCCAGATGTGGCAGGAGGTGCTGTTTCCCTGGAACCCCTCTGGCTTTGCACCTGCCCCGACCATCTCTGCTCCCAGGTCAGTGGCACCAGACTGGGAGGTGGTGCAGGGAAACACCTTCAGGGGTCCTTAGTGAGCTTCAAGAGCCGTGAAAAGGATTTGGGGCCGTGCGTCTGTGTGGAGGGAGGGAGAGGGCTGTCCACGGAGAGTGGGATGAAGTGACTTCTCACAGGGGCCCCCTTGGGGGCACTGCCTCTGGAGGTCAGGCTTAGCTGCACTTTGGTTCTGGAAGCCTCCAGGGCCTTCCCTGTGACTTGTTCCTTAGGCTCCAGGAACAAGCCTGTCCCTGTGTGGTCCCAGCATGAGGCAGGCCCGGCCAGCATGGGTGATGATGTGCCCATCCTCAGTAGTACAGAAAATGTTGCTGAAACCAAAACCATTCCCTTTTCTCTAGGAATATTTATGTATTTGTGACAACACAAGGTGCTGAAGAGGAGCGTGTTCTCTGTGATGAGCGGGAAATGGGAGTGAGGCCATGTGGCCACCTTCTTGGGCCAGCTTCCCGGTGTGTCCTGCAGCCCCCAGACGTGCCTCTCTGGCTGTGGTCCATCCCCATGGTCCTGGCCACAGTTCTGATGTGGGTTTTTCCTACACAAAGCAATTCTGTAACACCGACTGGGTGTCCTACAGTTTAACTCAATTCTGACACTATCTACCCAGAGAGCATCAGATCCCACAGGTTAAGGGCTCGGTCCCACAAGACAGCCCCCACTTCAGGTGCCAACTGCAGGTTCAGGTTGTCACCTGTGCTTCTGACAGATTGGCTTAAAGTCAGAGGTTCCCATGACCCCATTCTTAGGTTCAACTAATTTGGTAGAACAGCTCACAGAACTCAGGAAAATAATCCACTTACCATTTACCAGTTTATTATAAAAGGACGTGATTCAGGATATGGGCAAGCAGCCAGATGGAATGGATGCACAGAGTGAGATACGTGGGAAGGGGCACACTATTTCGCAACATGTGCTCACCAACCTGGAAGCTCTCAAAACCCCATAGTATTGGGATTTCATGTAGGAATGATCAGTCACTAACTCCATGCCATCCCCTCCCTCCTCGCTAGAGGCTTGGGGGTGGTAGACTGAAAGTTCCAAGCCTTTAATCACAGCTGGTTCTCTTTGGTAACCAGTCCCCATCTAGAAGCCATCCAAGCTCACCCAGAGTCATTAGAACAAGAGGCACTCTTATCACCCAGGAAATGACAAGGGATTGGTAGTCTGTGTCAGGGACAACAGAGCTCAAATTCCAAATATTTGAATAAAACACGCTCCTAGTGCTCTTATCACTTGGAATTTACAAGAGTTTTAGCAGCTCTGTGCCAGGAACTGGGGTAAAAGCCTAAATATTAGAAGAGAACATTTTCCTAGCACCCTTGTTTACAAGGGTTTCAGGAGTCCTGTGTCAGAAGGCAGGGGCAGACACCAGAATTTCCTGTTATTTTCCAAAGCCCATCGGGAAAGTAAACAAACATCAGGCCCTCACGGTGCTTTTAGAAGCCTCGTTCCTGGCCAGTGCCAGCTCCTTCTCAGCTCTTGCAGACGTCCGCTGAGACAAGCCCCCTGCGCTCGGGCTTTCCTGCCCTCCTCCTGGTCCAGCGTCCAGGCCTTCCTTCCCCGAGGACACGCGGCTTGAGCTGTGAGGCGCATGTAAGCATCCACGTGACATGTGCCCACTGTTCCTTGACAGCATACACGACAGTGGGCAGAAGGCCGGGCTGTATAAAGAAAACCTGCTGCTGCGGGGGTGCACCATCAGGAACACGGAAGCCATCGTCGGCATTGTTATCTATGCAGGTAGGTGTGGCTGGGTCTCATGCGGACTGACGATGCTCGTTCACCATGTCATGTGGTGTGTTCTGGAACATTGCCCCTATTTTGTTGTTTTCTGATTAGAAAAGTAACACATACCCATTACAGAAAATTCAGACAACCAGACATATTGAAGCAAAATTCTTAATATCTCTATCAAAAGTGTTCTTTCTTAGCATTTTTAGCCTCTTTCTTTCTGTGTGTTTCTCCGAGGTAGTTATATATCTAAGGTTAATTTTATATTCTGCTTTTTCAACTGAGCCCATCCCACGGGTATCACTGGCTGGCAGCATCAGACTTCAGTCCGTGGGTCAGTGCAGTCCCTCCCACTGATTCCCCTGCGTCCCCTCCTCCCACCACCCGCAGGACACGAAACCAAGGCTCTGCTGAACAACAGTGGGCCTCGCTACAAGCGTAGCCGGCTTGAGAGGCAGATGAACTGTGATGTGCTCTGGGGCGTCCTCCTCCTCGTCTGTATGTCTCTGTTTTCAGCAGTTGGTAAGTCTCCTCATGGGTCACAAATGAGTGGGCACTGCTGGGCAGCTCCAGACAAGCCTGGCGGGCCTCCCATGACCTGCTGTGACCCGGTGCTCTAAAGTGAACACACACATTTGTCACCGACCTAAACTCGAGGCATGTGACACTGAGATTCCTAGACAAATGCACTTGGCAAAGTAATGTTGTTTTTTCAAATTGGCAACTTCTTGGATGGAAGAATGGTTTAGTCACACTGGAAGTAATGATTCCAGTGGAAGTATTAGTAACCTGATGATGAATTGATAATAACAGGAGAAACACAGATGCTACTGAGAACTCCATGAAAAGAGGGAAAAAATTATGTTTATCCTAAGAAGGGGCTAGCAGCTAGGTTGCATGTGGAATCTGGTGCTCCCCAGTCTCTGATGGCCTCCAAACCCGGCATGCTGCCTTGGGAATGCCTCACAGCAAGGTATTTTGAGCCTCTGGATAAATGACCTTCACCGTGACCCCTGCTCAGCTGCCATCACACACCATGTGGGTGTGAGATGGTCTCAGAGCTCAGTCGTGAAAGATACAGGTGTACAGCACATGCAGAGGGCTTCCCTTCTCAGACAGGTGGGGACCCAGGTGATGGAATAATGTGCATTGCCATTGGCTTCTCAGGGTCTAGGATATGTTAGAATCTCAAAGAGGGAATGATGATGGGGGGAGGGCCAAGAGGGCATTGTAGAAATGCCTGAACCCCCATCTTCCCACATACACACTGAATCTACACCTACACTCAAAAAACAATTCCTCCCGAGGAAGGTCTGAGGACTGAGTGAACACCTTCATCAAGAAGGATGGAGAGAACACATAAAAACGGCAGGAGAGACAGAGGCACGATAATGGAGAGAGCACCACCCACAGTGTGGCCCTGTAGCAGGCAGGGATCCACTGAGGGGTCTGTGCAAATTCACCTGCCTTGGGGCACAAGAAAAAAGATACACCTTGAAGGACAACTAGACAGCAAGTGAAGAAAGATGATTTTCAGAACCAAAATACCCACTAAATGGCAGGGGATCACCTAGAATTCTCTCTCAGATCTGAAGGATTAGTGATTGCTGTTGTTTACATTCCTTTTGTTTACACTGATAGTGCTAATTGGGGCAGGGCCCCATCACATACTCTACATGTAACAGGCAGCCTCCTGGCTCCTGCACACACCCAAACACACCTGCTGGATTTCCAGCTGTCCTACTGTGACACCAGCATGACACTCACCTGAATTACTCCTGCCCATGCCCTTCCCATCACCAGCCACTGGACCAGCATGACCCTGGCAGGTGTCCACCTAGGCCACACCAGTCTTCAGCCTGGCATCTACCCAGAAGCCATCTGGAAAATGCCCCAAGAACTCCAGCATTAGGATACCCCTGGTCTATACTCACCCATCCTCCAGCCAGCCCTAATTGCCATGCACATGCAGTCTGCCCAGGGATTGATCTACACAAGACCACACCTTCCAGATTGGGAGAGGTAGCCCTTTTGTCTCAAAGAACTAAAGTCAGACAAAATTAGGAAGCAAGGAAATCTGTTCCAAATGAAAAAACAAGGTACAAATCCAAGACAAGTACTAAGTGAAACAGAGTTAAGCAATCTATGTGATAAAGAGTTCAAAGTAATGATCATAGAGATGCTCACCAGACTTCAGAGAAGAATGGATGAACTCAGGGAGGACTTCCACAAAGAGAGAGAAAGTATAAAAAAGAACCAATCAGAGCTGAAGAATACAATAAATGAAATGAACAATACACTGCAGAAAATCAACAGCAGATGAGAGGATGCAGAGGCACCAGGTCAGTAATTTGGAAGACAGAGTAATGGAAAGCACTCAAACTGAACAGCAGAAAGAAAAAAATAAATAAAAATGAGGATAAATTAAGGAACCTCTGAAACATCATCGAACAGACTACCATTTGCATTATAAGATTCTCAGAGGAGTACCTAGGAATAAACCTAACGAAGGAAGTGAAAGACCTATACTCTGAAAACTATAAGACACTCTTAAGAGAAATTAAAGAGGGCACTAATAAATGGAAACTCATCCCATGCTCTTGGGTAGGAAAAATTAATATCATCAAAATGGCCATCCTGCCCAAAGCAATCCACAGATTCAATGCAATCCCTATCAAATTACCAACAGCACTCTTCAACGAACTAGAACAAATAGTTCTAAAATTCATATAGAACCACAAAAGACCCTGAATAGCCAAAACAATCCTGAGAAGGAAGAATGAAACAGGGAGGGAGTATCTCGCTTCCCAACTTCAAGCTCTACTACAAAGCCACAATAATCAAGACAGTTTGGCACTGGCACAAGAACAGACCTATAGACCAGTGGAATAAAGAGTCCAGATGTTAACCCAAGCATATATGGTTAATTAATATACAATAAAGGAACCATGGATATACAGTGGGGAAATGACAGCCTCTTCAACAGCTGGTGTTGGCAAAACTACACAGGTACATGTAAGAGAATGAAACTGGATTACTGTCTAACTCCATACAAAAAAGTAAACTGGAAATGGATCAAAGACCTGAATGTAAGTCATGAAACCATAAAACTCTTAGAAAAAAACATAGGCAAAACTCTCTTGAATATAAACATGAGCAAATTCTTCATGCACAAATCTCCCCAGGCAAGAGAAACAAAAGCAAAAATGAACAAGTGGGACTATATCAAACTTAAAAGCTTCTGTACAGCAAAGGACACCATCAGTAGAACAAAAAGGCATCCTACAGTATGGGAGAATATATTCATAAATGACATCCACTAAGGGGTTGACATCCAAAATATATAAAGAACTTACACACCTCAATAAACAAAAAGCAAATAATCCAATTAAAAAGTGGGCAGAGGATCTAAAGAGACACTTCTCCAAAGAAGAAATCCAGATGGCCAACAGACACATGAAAAGATGCTCCACATTGCTGATCATCAGAGAAATGCAAATTAAAACCACAATGAGATATCACCTCACACCAGATCAAATGGCCAACATCCAAAAGACAAACAACAACAAATATTGGCAAGGTTGTGGAGAAAGGGAACCCTCCTGCACTGCTGGTAGGAATGTAAATTAGTTCAACCATTGTGGAAAGCAGTATGGAGATTCCTCAAAAAGCTCAAAATAGAAATAGCATTTGACCTAGGAATTCCACTTCTAGGAATTTACCCTAAGAATGCAGCAGCCCAGTTTGAAAAAAACAGATGCACCCTTATGTTTATCACAGCATTATTTACAGTAGCCAAGAAATGGAAGCAACCTAAGTATCCATCAGTAGATGAATGGATAAAGAAGATGTGGTACATATACACAATAGAATATTATTCAGCCAAAGAAGAAAACAAATCCTACCATTTGCAAGAACATGGATGGAACTAGAGGGTATTATGCTCAGTGAAATAGGCCAGGCAGAGAAAGACAACTACCAAATGATTTCACTCATATGTGGAGTATAAGAACAAAGAAAAAACTGAAGGAACAAAACAGCAGCAGAATCACAGAACCCAAGAATGGACTAACAGTTACCAAAGGGAAAGGGACTGGGGACGATGGGTGGGAAGAGAGGGATAAGTGGGAATAAGGGGCATTACGATTAGCATACATAATGTGGGGGGCAGGGCATGGGGAAAGCAGTATAGCACAGAGAAGACCAATAGTGAGTCTTCAGCATCTTACTAAGCTGATGGACAGTGACTGTAATGGAGTATGTGGTGGGGACTTGATAATGGGGGAGATCTAGCAACCACAACATTGCTCATGTAGTTGTATATTAATGATACCAAAGTAAAATAAATAAGTAAATAAATAAATAAGTCAATAAAAAGTCTCAGAGGAGGAGAGAGAGAAAAAGGAATAGAAAACTTATTTGAAGAAGTCATAGCTGAAAAATTCCCTAACTTGGGGAAGGAAACAGACATCCCAGTCCTGGAAGCAAAGAGCCCCCAAGATAAGCCCAAGGGGGTCCACACCAAGACACACAGTAATTAAAATGTCAAAGATCAAAAGTAAAGAGAGAATCTTGAAAGCAGCAAGAGAAAAGCAATGAGTCATATACAATGAAAACCCCTTAGGCTATCAGCTGATTTTTTAGAAGAATTTCTATTGGCCAGAAGGGAGTGGCATGCATTCAAAGTGCTAAAAGAAGAAGCCTGCAACAAAGAATGCCCAGAAAGGTAGAATTATTATTGATAGATAAGTCCTTCAGAATTGAAGAACAGATAGTTTGTCAGACAAAAGCAATTTCAAGGAGGTCACCACCACAAAAGTGGCCTTCTCAGAAATATTAAATAGATTTCTTTAAGAGGAAAAAAATGGCCATAACTGGAAGCAAGAAAATTATGAAAGGAAAAAATTTCGCCAGTAAAAGCAAGCATTTAGCAAAGGTAGTAGATCAGTCACGTAAAAGCTAGTATGGAGGCTAAAAGACAAAAGTGGTCAAATCAATTACATCTAAAAATTATTTAAGGAAATTGCTAAATAGAAAGGTTTAAGAGAAGACATCATAGACATAAAATGTGGAGGAGGAGGAGTAAATAATGTAGTGTTACTAGAATGTGTTCAAACTTGAGCGACCATCAACCTAACATAGACTGTGATAGACATAAGATGTTATATAACAATCCCATGATAGCCACAAATAAAAACCTGTAATAGATACACACAAAACAGAAAGGAATCCAGCCATAACACTAAACAAAGCCATTGTGCACAAAGGCAGAAAGCAAGAGAAGAAGAATGGGTCAGATAAAAATGAGAAAAACAACCAGAAAACATTTAACAAAATGGAAGTAAGTACATAACTATCAATCATACTTCAAATGTACATGAGCTAAATGCTCCAATCAGAAGACATAAGATGACAATGTACAAAAAAAACAAGACCTATCATATGCTGCCTATAAGAAACTCATTTCAGACCTTAAAACACATACAGAGTAAAACTGAAGATATGGAAAAAGGTATTCTGTG